GAGTCATCTACAACTGCCGGTGGGCTGTTATGCAGTAGCATGCTCACAAGAAAAAAAACCTCAAAACTCACCGTCAATGGCTTTTTCGGATGCCTTGAGGAGCTCGAGAGAACGTAGAGAATGCTTGGCAGGCACGAAAAACAGTGTAGGCTTGGTTTGTGTTTGTATGAAGTTGCGCAGCAGTTTGTAATGTTCCTTCTTCGCCTCTGCCTTAATTTACCCTATTAGATAATCGAAAATCATTAGGTTGTAATATTAAAAAATGGAAGAAAGGGATTAGGAACCTCGAGACAAGCGGTGAGAGTGTAAAAATGATCAAAAAGCGAGAGCTTACATATTGTATTAGCGCCTTCTTCCTTTGCAGCGCTCGCAATTCTTTCTCCTGCTCACGACGTTCGTCAAACAGTTTCTGGCGCTCTGCTATGATCTGGAAAGCAAAATAGTCAGAATGGGTGGTAGATACTGCTCTACACTTGCCTAAGCAATTGCTCTGTGATTTATAGAACATAGAAAAACATCTCCTTGAAAAAATTGAAAAGAAGAGTTCATTGGATAAATCAAACCTTTTCACGATCCTCTCGCTTTTTGTCTTCGAGGCGTTTTTCTACTTCAAGCTGCTTCTCAGCCTGAAAGAAGACTTTTTAAAAAAGCTAGCATGATACTTTCATCATGTTATCCGTCTTACTGAAACGGGAACTAAAGCTAAAACATTACCTGTATTTTTTCAACGTTTTGGATTTTCTTCTCGTCTCTTTGGAAACGAGTGAGCGTGCCCATGAGGAGGTTCGAGAACATACGACGGTTTCTGAAAAATAATGATAAAAAGACCATGAAATTTGCATTAATACTAATTGGACGAAAGTATAATCCTCGAAGTAACACCCAAAGTACCTAGTTGTGACTTCTTTCTTTTCTGTCTTGTTCATTTCCTCGATCTTTTCCTCGCGACTCTTCGTTTCAATTGATGGCATGACTACCGTTGAAGCCAGTGTCCTAAATAATAAAAAACATCAAAATAGAATCATGATTTGTATGAAAATCTTCCTACTAACTATTACCTTTTTGGACGCATATCACGATCGTCATCATCATCCACTTCATCGTATTCCACACGTTGTCGTTTGTTGGGCCGCTCATCGCCTCGTACCATTCTTAAATATGCATCTTTAATACCTTAACCACAAATTGAGTGCAAATTCAAGATCATTTTATGGAGCCAATCCACTTCTTTTTTGTGTACCTCCTGCCAAACTCTTTAATTTATAGAACTAACAGCGAAAGCAACATTTGTCACCGTGACAGTAGAATAACGAGGTTGGTGTGGGACCTTACACTAATACCATTCACTACTCACAGCTTAAATCCTGTGAAAGCCTCAACATAACCTCATGATGCTTTGTGTGCCACTGAAGAGTTGTCAAAAAATTTTCAGAGCTCGTTAATATTCCGCATCTCCTCGTATGAAAGAACATTTTTGAGATAAGAAAGGCAAAATGCAAGGACTAAGTCGAGTTTTGAAAAACAGCACATCTACTCCTACACCAACTTAAAACTCATAGCCCATCCGGTTGGAATTCGTTAACGTTGGGCGATATTTTCCCAAGTGAACTTATGGCCAACAAGAAAGAATTTCATCGTGTTCAAACTCACTCTATTCGTCGCCTATTGAATCCAGGTGTTGCATCACTTACCACAGTAACTCGTCCACTAAAAGTAATTCACATTAAAATATGTGGAATTAAATCTGAAATTTTATGAAACCGATGCCATGCCTTGCCATGAAATGAAACAGTCTAGTGGAATTTTGGCATGTGAATACTTAATTTAATTGACGAAAAACAAGAACACGCACGCCACTACTCTACTCTGCTCCAGAAAACTACGGCCAATTCTCAGTAAAAATAGGTCCTTTTACCTATTTTACAGATTACATCTAGTTGTAATATTAAAAATCGATAATACCTGCCATTGGAGAACCTATCACCTCCATAACCACCTTCATGAGAGATACGACGCTTGACTCCCGCTCCACCACTAAACAAGCATGATTTATGAATAGAAATAGCCGATATTCATTCAATAAAAACAATTTTTCCAAACAAGAAAATCTGAAGCAATACTTACATATCAAAATCCCGACGATTTGTTCGTAAAGTCGCAATCGTTCCATCCAATTCACGCAGCCTCTCCTGCACACGTTCAATCTCCTTGTTCAACGATTCCGCAGTCATTCATAAAAACAAAAGAGGAAGCGATAATATCACCAAAACACATTACATCAAGCAAACGTTTAGGGGCAACAAATAGCGAATCGATAATAACAACTTGAATACGAGAGGCTTTCAAAAATATCACCATTTATTTCCTATAAATTCATAAAATCAGAACATTGGAATGATACCGGGAAACGATAAAGATCAATAGCAACACTGGGCAAGAGCACTGGGCAAAATTGAATCGTAACAGTATCCAAAGGAGGTATCAAGGAATCAGTAAGTAAGAGAAATATATTCAAGACTAGCTACTGATGTTAACACTAGAAATAATATCACAATTGTGTTCACAAGTATATCTAAAGGCAAAGGCAAAGATATCAAAAGGTTGTAAAGAATTCTATCTACGAAAATAAATCTGTTGGCCAAGAATAGCTGCTATAGGACTGTTAAGCACTAAGCATCACCTAATAATCATCCACATAGAAAATGTGTAGCGTGAAAGAAAATGTAATAGAGTTCAATTTGGACCTAACCAAAGAGCGTCCACAATTTCCCCCGCTTGTAAAACTGAGCACTGTGGTGACTTCCCGGGCAACTTCAGCAGGACAGTTGCTCCAGAAAGACTCATGAGCCTAGAACATTCCATAAGAAATACGAATTCTAAATTGAGCTAGAAAAGAACCGAACCTAAGCAACCACGTAGAACAACGAATTGGATCGAAAAATATACCTTGACGAAATCTGATCACCCGTTGTTATGGCAAGGGGAATGTCGCCACCATATTGTAACCAGGCTCTCGCATACTCTGGACGAGCATCAAGATTGAGGTTTTGGCTGATCTACAAAAGAAAACACTGAGAGGGCATCCCTTCCTTCGAGTATGAAGAATGCAAATTACCTACCCGAACTTTCAACACATTTTGAAAGATTCTAGAATGGCCGGCAATCTTTCTCAACAATGGCACAGCGAAGAGTTGTGCGGTAACCCAACTCGAAACAGGATTACCTGAACATAGTTGCCATACTGGTGAGTTACATTTGGTTAAGCTACGAGTAACGGAACTAACCTGGTAAAGCAAACACAAACTTCCTCTCGCCGTCAACCATACCTGTTGCAAAGGTGGTCGGGAGTCCCGGCTTCATCCAAACTCGTCCAAAATGAATCTAGAGAGATTTTTTAGGCCCACTGCGAACGAATTATAACTATTCACTGTTGGATTTGATAACAAACGAATAAACGAATTAACAATTACTACGAAAAACAAGATCGAAAGGCCTATTCAAGTCGAAAGTAATTTTAAATCAAGCTCTACAGACCTTGAAGCCGAAGTCATTCATCAGCACATCCTTCATCAAATCTTTTTCACCCATGCTCACACCTCCAGACGTTACAAGCACATGCGCATAGCGGAACGATACTTTTATGGCCTCGACAAGACATTCGCGTCTGTAAATTAAAAATTAAGCGGCTTCGTCAACGTAGTCGATTAATTCTGATGCAGTAACATCAGGTAGACGGTACAGACACTCCAACCTATCTACGGCAATACCCGCATCGATTGCCTTAAATCCTAGCGAACTGAACAAGGCAATTAACTGAGGGCGATTTGTGTCACGGATATGGCCAGTAGGTACATCTTCTGCCGTGCACTCTTCTAGCTAAATCTTAACAATATTGACATTAACAAGGATCAGACTTGAATTAATCAAGGAGCTGACGTTGACTCAACAGCACTAACCTCATTGCCAGTCGACAGTATACAAACTTTAGGCCTTCTGTACATCAGAACTGAACGTTTTCCGCTCCCAGCTAAAACACCGATTTCCGCAGAGCCAAGGGTACATCCAGAATCCAACAGTAGATCTCCCTTGGCAATGTCGCTGCCAGGCATACTGAAACGATGTGCCCTCAAAAAGAGTAACACTGGACAACAAAAATGATAAGAGCAATAGAAAGGCTTGAAGACTTCGTTATGTGGAGAAACCCTGCTATATAGTTTATTTTTTATCTACAGACTACATCATATTTTCTAGAATCGCCACAAAGCAGTAAATTAAACAAGTAATGAAAAAAATGAAAAATGTAAAAAAACCAAGGGCAAACCCGTTAGTATTAAGAAACTTTTTCACCGTAAGGGCTGGTCTTGCATACTTGCAAACCAGCAAGGCTCCTAGCATACAAGGCTCTCTGAGCTCCTTCAAACGGGCAGTTGGCAAAAATGTTTTACAAGCATAGCTGCCACCTTTTTTCTCAGAATTTGTTTGTTCTATCGTTATATTTTGTGTTGCTGNCGTTTGTTTATGTTTTCTTTTTCAACGCTGTCTTATATGGCGTATATGATAAATAAAATATTCCTACTATGAAATTCTGCCTTACATATTGGAACGAAATAAATTTATCGAGCTGTTTTGCCGTTGCAAATCATAATTTTGAATCTTCCCAATAGTAAAAGATCGGATAGTAACCTTCATACTAAAAGGTTGCATAGGGAAATCGATCTGCTTTCCTTGAATTATAACTAGGGGGAGAGAGAGGTGCTCCAGGATACGTCGAAAGAAGAAGACATAGAATGCCGCCCTTAATCTAATTATGGTCAAGAGACAAGGGAGAAACACAAATGCTTACCGAATATCCTGACCAGGTTTCACGTTTATGTCCACACTTACAGTGAGTTCTTCGGATCCCTAAAAATGAAGTACGATTGCAGAGTATCGAGAAAAAAAAAAACACCAAAATCCCTGTTTTTTCAAAAATAAAAAGCTCATTTGATCATATAACATACATTATGTTCCACAAGGCGAGTATGTTCCACCATCACAACAGCATCAGCTCCATCAGGAACGGCGGCACCGGTACTTACACGGACACATTCACCAGCTGAGACAGATTTGAGATACGGTGAACCCGCAGTGGACGACCCAATGACCTTCCGGAGACCTTTCGGATCACTCGCTGAAAATATTGTACAGGATGATTCCAGCCAAAAGCCCTTGGAATCTGTAAGGAAATTTGAAGAAACAACTGATTGAGCAACGATAACCTGTAACTCAGTCCTTGCTAGAAACTTGCATTTAAAAGACATGAGCACGATTTCCCACATTTTTAAAACTATTAGTTAGCATCTGTTTACGTCCGTTTATACCATTATCGTAATAAGTAGTTATCACATCATGATTTGAAACAATTCATTAATCAAACAACACCCCACCTACGACTGCATATCCGTCCTTTATTGATGTCCGCACTTCAGGTACATCAGCCTGGGCGACAACACGCTCCGCCAGCACTTGTCCTGTAACGAGATAATAAAGCACATTGAATCAACCGTTCTATTTAGCGCACACAATCGTAGCACTTCTACGATTAATTTGCAAACAACATTCGCGAATAGTACGAGTGGAGAGGTTTCTTATAGCAGTTTTGCTGCGATGCACCTGCTATTTGAAGAACGTTCGCGCAGGTTAAAAGTTTGCTAATCAGTACATTACGTCACACAACCATCGTCCATCAATCAAAATTGGTTTTATAAACAATCAGAAATTTTCTAACGGATATTCAAAAACGACTGAATCGATAGAACAAAATCTCACCAACTCTAACAGCTGCGATTGGGACATACTTCACGAACGTGGGCACTTCTACGTTCTCTATTAGACCTAAAGCTTCTTCCATGGGTACTGCAGGCCAAACACTTTGTCGTGGTCGCGAGATCACGGAGCTCTTATCCCTCTCATCGCCTTCATCTGTAACCTGGAATAAAACGGAAGTAGCAAAGGCAAATAAACGAAAAACAAATAAAATAACAAGCAAACCTTTTGAAAAAGCTGAAGTTCATCAATTACAATTAAGCCGACTGGTTCAATACAGACAATCAGCTTTGCCACAATTAACAGTTTTTTCCTATTTTTGTTCGCAATGTTTATTCAGAGGTGTTCTTTATAAAAAGGAGTGGCGCTTTCGTGCCGTTCTCTCTATAAAAATGCCCCACTTCCTCTCGATCTCCCTCGAATTTGCAGGTGCTTGTGAGGAGGAATGAACTTTGACCAGATTATGTAGGGGTTTTAGCTAGTTACAAAAATAAACCATTATTTTTCAATAGTAAACATAACCATACGACACTCTACCTGTACTTCTGCCATCTTCAAGTCAAATTATTCCTGGTCATAAAAAAAAAGCCGGCAAAATGCGGTGGAAAATGGCGGAAACTGAAAGAAAACGAACTCAAAGCAAAACAGCTTAAGCGATACTTCAACAACCCGAACAATAAGAGCTCGTATAAGGATCACCTATTCTCTACATAAATCTCAGAAATTATGACAAATGACATCATAACAGACTTAGAACAATACTTCTTACCAGTTAGAAGCCGTTGAAGGCCAATGAGTGATGCGCGATCAAAATGGCTGCGTACAGGTTCTTTGACTGAGTATCACTTGTGCGATTGGAGCGCGAAATTCACTAACGAGAGCACCACCTTTTAGAAAATGAACCTTTCACTCTCATTAAACTGTTCCTTTGAAAGTTGTATAGTAGAATTCACTAACGGGAAGCTTATTGACGATTTTTATGGATGTATTAGGCGATTTTATATCTATCTTCGTGTTTATTGCATGAGATCTATTTCTACTCACCATATTACCAGTACATATTTTTACAACTGGCTACCTTCTACATAGTTCAATCAAAGTGCTGATCTAATGAAAGATATCCATGCGTTTGGTTTACCGTTATACGCAACTAAATGGACTTCTGATAATGAGGATGTGGTATCTCGTTGCAAAAAGTGGGATTCAACTCGGACTCGTTCGGTATTTCGGCATGATCATTACCTTTCTTCCAACCCCTCCCATATATCCCCTTCACTGATATACCAACAGCGATAAGGTAATATTTTGGTAGTTGATATTCACTCCATTATAGAAGTACAGTCATGTCGACCGGTGACGGGTGAGTTAGCCTCTCGTGACTAGATCGAAATTCGGTTATTGAGTTGTCTTGCTTACTTCTTTTCTGATCCGATTGTGTTGATGTATATGTAACGTCGGAGTGATACCTGGGACAACTGTGACCTCGAGTCAACCTGAACCACCTAACTAAGCCTGCTGGTCTTATCGAGTTGCTCTTATAGGCGAGAGAAACATCTTTAGTTGCCTTTGCAGGGTGATAAGTTTGCACAATGGCTTCCTCCTGTCTAAGTGGTGTCTAAGGGATCACAGTTGTTTAAGAGATTCGCCACGTATTTCCGACTATTAGGTTGTCAAGCAGCTTTAGAATCTGAAGGACTTATTTGGGGATCGCTACAAGAAGGTCATAACCATTCAGGGCCTGTCGTGTTGTAGTCATTCGTGGCCGAATTAGAAGATTTTTTCGATCATTGTAAGATGTTTTCAAAAGGAAATTTCAGCATCGACTTGACTTATCTGGAAGAGCCTCCAATTGCATGGCCGAAAGCAGAATGGAGCCACAATAAATACCGAGTAACTCCGTGGGTTTCCTCCAAAACAGTCATTTATTTGAGCTTCATCTTTATGCTCAGCGATTTCAGTTAAAAATGGAATTAATATCTTCGAAAAGTTGTTAATCAACTCTTGACAGATCCATAACCCTCAAGGTGACTTTGCCAGCCGCTTGCGCTCCGGAAGCTCTTGAGATATCAACTGTTTATAGTGAACAAATGGAATTATCAGTAACTTGTAAGGGCTGCTTCAAAGTACGCTCAGAATAGTTTGGTGCTTGGAAGGAGTCCATTCCACCAAGTTACCTTGGAGGAATAGTGGCAGGGTAGGGTTGCCCTTGTCTGATTTTCAGCAATTCGCTCTGCGGACACTAATCGCACGGTACTCACGGTACCACCTTGTCACTGGATTATCTGACTAGTAGATGGATATAGATGATTTCGTATTTCTGCAGGAAACCCATCGTAGAGGCTAAGATCTTTCAGGTCTTTCAAAGATCATCTGCCATACTTCGCTGGAGAAAATGCCTGGGTGAAAGAAGTGAACATGAACTGCTGGCCCGATTATGAAAATAACAGGTACGCCAGCCCATTCTGAAAGGACCCCTTCATTGAGACACTAATAATTTGCGAAAAATTATTTTCAGGTCGAAATATATCGTAAATGTCAAATGGCTAGATGATGACGAAAAGGCAGCGGAAAGATGGAGGCAGCTGGCCTCATTCTCTTCGAGTAGGTTACTATTGGCGAGGTTACCCTAGAATATTGCGGGAAGGGCTGCCTTGTACTACATATGCCAGTGCATTTTCCCATTGACAATTCTGGGAAGGGATAATACAGTGGGTATTCATTCAGTTACAAGTGGACCATATTAACGGTTGGAAGCTTCATACCCTGTCTTTCCTCCAGAAACTTTCTACAAAAGCTATCATGATCATGATTGAGATTCCCGTCCCTTGTCGTTCTCCGTCCCCTCTACATGAACACTGCTTCACCAAAGTGGATCTGAATTCTTCTATTACTCAAAACCTAACTTGCAGCGAGTACGTCATCTTCACTTATGGAGGGCTACACGTCCGAAATGACGAAGGACGCAACCGAGCCCACCGTAGACGACTGGCTTGGCTCAGAAGAATATGAACAAGAAAACACTTCGTCTCTGCCGGGAGGTAAAGAATTTTCGATGAAAGGGGCAAGTCCTAAATGATCTAGGAAGTTGCAACGAATTATTTAGGTGATGTGGGCCATGGGGACACGGTCCCAGATTACGGTAGCAGCATGATCGATGGAAGTCTTCCTAGTGAGAATAGGTATGTTGGTCCTAGAATTCCTGAGCCTCAAATCAGTTGCTGCTGATTTTTGCCATGAGGATAATCGAAGGCTTATCTGAACAAAATTCTAACTCAGGGGTAGGGGAAATTACGACCAGACCCATCAATGAGCATATAGTACTCAATTGCAAGTTGGCTAAATAGAATTCCGATGCTCCCATTATCCTGGATAGTGGAATACATGGCGTATACTGGAGCCATGATCGAACATTCGAGTAGATTTTGTAGGTACCCAAAAGGGCGTTTACTCAACCGGACTGCTTTCGATGTAGTACTGATTGGTAACCAGGATGAAGAGTAATGACAGACTGAAATCTCATGCCAATCCAAACTTGACCCAGAAGACCTTCCCGAGCAAATGAACATCAAAGCAGTGACTTTTTTAGAAGATAACTCAATTTCATTCCAGAACTGTTCTTCACACCACACCTACTTCATCGGTCAATACGCAAAATGGTTCCGGTGATTTCACTAATGAAGGTTTTCCTGAGGTTAATTATTTACCCTTTGGATTCGTACCTCTCCAGAGATATACAGCTTATGACAGCTGTCTTTGAGAAGTCAGGAAAACCCTGTGCGTTTACTTTCATTCACGGTATTTTCGAAGTTTCCTTATTTCAGCACCCAGATCTTCAATCTCCTGTTCCTGCAGAGATGCTATCTATTAGAATCATTATTATTGAGAAGGTAAGCTGAATTTTCTTCCTATAAAGTGGCTCCTAGAGAGAGAACGTAATTGTGGGGCCAGAGGCGAAATATTTGGTCTGCAGCGGTATTTGAACTTGCTTCTATGTAATATGTACACCATGCAAACCTTCTACACCAACGGAGGCCGCTATTGTTTTCCCGACCTTTTAAGCAATAACTTCGAGGCATTCAACCGCGGGAAACGCCGAGAGATCAGGGGCGTGGTTCTAGTCGAAGTCGAAACTGAACCTTCTGCTCACAAATTTGCTAGAGGACGCTACAGCTCGCTAGGTACTTGGCTATGGAAGAAATATCAAAGTATGGTACGGTCCCGGGTAGTTTAAGTAGAGTTCTGCTCTTAGTAGCAATTCAATTCCATTCTTTAACGAATGTAATAAAAAGGTAAAAAGTACATGGAAAACTGGGATGAACGTTTGAAGGTTAAAGCGAATGATGAGACCTTTGGCGTGGCAAGGCGTGTATCAATCCCAATTACGTCGGCACATATGCAACCGACAAGCATCCGGAGATGTAGTAGCAGCACACAATAGTGCATCTTGACGTTCCAAAAATCGCAAAGGCGATTCAACGTTCTAAACAATGTTTTCACTCATTCAGAAGAGTATCGTCGCAAGTATGAGAGCTTGTAAAACGATGATGAGTTTTGATCCGTTACATGACTTCATAAATATGGGTGCGATAGCGCCCTTCAGCACTATTCAACCTGCGCCACCGGAAACATCTACAAAGGGAAAAGGATCAATCTTAAGGTGTAGGCCAATCCCGTTTTTTGAGGTGCGCCCCGTGTTCAGCTTCCATTCAGAATCGTAGAGGCGTCTTGGAGCGTTTACAATGACTAATGGCGTCCAGTTGGTGTAGAAAACATCTGTGTAATCTTAACAGACGAGTCTGGTACCACTCAGAAGTCTTCGTGTGCCGCTACGATTCAGGATTAGATCTCCGGACCATGCATGGGTAGTGCGCCTCTCGCCACTATCCCAAGTATATGTAGTCTTCGCCACATCCCCCTAAATACATGTATAGACGTAGTCAACTCGGTATGAAACATAATGCAGCCAGTGCTTTATCTCCCAGAAGGGAGCCGTCTTCTTAACAATGATCTGATTGATTTCAGGCTAACTTCAGTATTGTTCGGAGGAAAATCGATTACGAAGCAGCCTCTGATGAGTGCATCAGCAGTATTTATGATATTTTGGAGAAAAATATGTGAGTTGGATAGTTTTCGACGATGGTCGAGAACTTATGGTACTTTCCGGAAAATAAATTCATGAACAGCTTTAGTTTCCCTTCGTGCGAGCTCCAGGACTGGGTTGCGTTCTTTTTGGTGCGTACTTTAACTGAGAATGGAACTCGACCGGGTTGATCCTGAGCTTGGCTCCACGATTTCTATGATTGAACCTAAAAACTTATGTGGTTCCAAATCGATCAGAGAGGAGAAATCTATGGCTTCGTCTCGTTGTTATTAGAAAACAGAACATCAAAGCAAAAACAGAGTGTCGCTCTGCCGTGGAAGACCTCAAATAGGGCTTCCTATTGAACTCAGCACAGCATTCCAGAATATTGAGGTCAGCTGAACATTTCACGAGGCCCATAGATGACTTTTGTNNAACAGAACATCAAAGCAAAAACAGAGTGTCGCTCTGCCGTGGAAGACCTCAAATAGGGCTTCCTGTTGAACTCAGCACAGCATTCCAGAGTAGTGAGGTCAGCTGAACATTTCACGAGGCCCATAGATGGCTTTTGTGAAGAGGGCATTCAATTTAATCAAACCGCTCTGTGTATGCAGCATCCGACGTAATACGCTCTCATAACCCACCCGCTCAGACTTGATTCGTGAGGATGACAGTGCTTCTGCCTTGCGAACCGGTCTACCCCATTCAAAACGAGTAACCCCATCAGATCATTGTGAAATGTTGTTCTGGGATCTAACCTGCAGTATTTCTGGGTGCAGACGTGTAATGAGCAACGAAAGAGAATTGCATGTTTTAGGCCGTCTCTGGAGAAAATCCAAATTTACTATTCGAATAAGAAAATCCGTCGTCGTACCGATTTGGTGGGTTACTAGAAATACAGTTGACGCGGCAAAATACGTAGAATCAAGCATACGACGACACTGGTATCTTTTTTCCTCACTCTGGTTCTTCTAGGCCTTTCCAGGTTGCATGCGTAATTCTGGAGTATTTCCGCACAGCAGGCTGGTGCAGCAACACACTTGCAGACTAAATTTGAACTCTGGAGACACGAAGTTTTCAAATAAAACTAGATTGGGAGACATTCCAAGAGGACCGGTCAGCACGGGATGTCCTGCCTTCCTTTGGACTTTACCAGCTTCCAGTAGAGGGCCAGTGCTCTCAGGTCTCAACGGACTTGTCTTTCGGAAGCCCTTGTAAGCACTCCTACTCTCTTTCCCTTTACCCGTCACAGTAGTCCTTCCCGATGTCTACTGGGATGAAATTAGGCTCGAGAACCATGCATGCGGTAACAAAACCGATCTCGCTGCCCACATCCTCTTCCCTACCGAATTCGGAATTTAGTGCGACCCTCTATTGTCAGACATTACATCCACTATGCGATCACTGCGTGTTGCCAAGCTCCGAGCCCCTAGCCATAAAAAGCGCTCGAATGGGAAACTGATAGACATGCACTAACTTCCAAATTTGGTATAGGAGAAGATGTGGGCAATAATGATCGGCTACGCCACCACACGGGGAGTTCTCGGACCTAAATACCCTCAGTGCTCCCATAGCATGGAGTGCGGTCTTCACACTCACCGTTCCTGGAGTTGTGGCTCCTTGGTTCCACACGAAGCATCCATGAACTTGTACATTCCCCAAGGCAGGAGTTTTCTCTCGGTAGAAACCTGAATGCCATGCTACACAAAGGAATAATGTACTTAAGTGAATTCAAAGTCACAATCTGATGTGAAAATTGTCTACACTATTCCAATCAGGTTGAAGACCCGTTTTGTTCTTTCCTCTCCTAGGGAGAAATTTCAGACAAAACTACCGGCCGGTGATCGAAGGCAATTCTGTCAACTGGCTGGTACTCAAGGAACGTTGGTTTTTGTCGTCGCAGCACCAACTGTTCGGATTTTCTGATTGTAGATGTTCTCTGGACCGGAAGCCTATGAAAGTGCTAGTTTATGCATATTTATTGTATTTGTAACGTGAACTCAAGGAAACTTAATAAATTCCATGTTCATCAGCGAAAATTCAATGAGAAAAGTACAAATGAGTTGATCATTGAAAAGGGATAGTGAGAGGCCATTCGGCCTACCATTGATGGAGCTGATTAATGCAGGCCATTAACTTTCCAAGATAGATGTTCATAGCACGAATGCACCCATCGTGGACAGGCTACCAGGCACCATATGGTACAGAACTGGCATCTGACCCAACCGGAAGCTCTCCTTCGAAATTTCTGTACAAAGGAAGTTATTTGTTTACTAGACAGTCTGCGGTCGTTTCTGTGGGAAAAACTCCCTTGAGGAAAAGGTGGAGTATTGAAATTTGGGAACGGACATTCACAGTGACTAATGCGTATAAGCATTCGAGCCAAACGAAGGGGTTTAGGAGCGTATTCCACTATAAGCGGCTACAACGGGATCTGATGCATTCCTCACAAGTCTGCGACACTCTATTTATGGCTAAGGCAGTAATCATAACTGCTCTGCTTTTCCACGAACTTTTTGAAGTTCTAGAATTCGAAAGTTAGCTGAAATCCAATCATTTTTTGGAAGGTTTTAGCTTTCAGAAGAAATGCTTCCCGTTACCATGCTGTACTCCCTGGTATACTACAATTTCAGCAGAATTAGGTAACTACCACTACAGGGATCGATGTCAGAGCAATTCTGCCAGTGGAAGTTCAAGATATAGCTTCTACAAAGTACCATTTTGGTCGGAAGTCAAAGTGACCAGGATACACTCTGCAAAATGTGTACCGCGTGGTTGCACCACCCCATCACCCCATTTGGTCTCATTTCCAGCAACAGAACGACCAAAATTAATGCGGACTCGTCTCTACAACGTCAGTGTTCTGGCATCCATTACCAAGGGACAATCCATTCATGCCGCTGTCGTATCGACGTTGTTCGAGTTCGATTTCAGCAGGGACGACGGGCGGCGCTTGCAGCGCCGCCAACCCATTACGGCTGGAAATAATCGCCAGTCTACGGCTTTTTACTACGACGGCAGTTTTATTTTGATAAATTTTTTTTATTTGATTTGTTTCAATTTTACGAATTCATTTTCATGATGCTTGTGCTTTCTCATTCTACCTTTTTTCTTAAAAATTAACTTTCGTTTTTTTTTTATCCAGAATTCCATTGAGGTTGTTAATCTTGTGATCTTACTGAATATGACCCCAGGTGTCGAAATGAAATTCTATACGACCTTATGGCATAAGCGCTAGTGAAGGTTTCCGTTGGTTTCCCCATTAAAATCTCGTAAAATGCAGGTGAATATAGAAATTTTGGCACTTCTAGGAATTTTCCATGGTAAACTCAAAAAAAATCTAAATATTCGTTGCTACTATAACAGAAATAGCAGTTGCTCACTTGTAATTTAGGTAGTCTTCCTTTTTTGTTTCTCCTTTACCATTTTCTATATTATTATTCACGATCTGCGAATTTTGTTTGTTTATTTATTTACTCATCACATAATTTCTGGCGCATTTGAATAAACAATAAATATTTACGCCTCGAAGGCCATGCCATGCTGGCCGTATATTGATTGGAAATTCCCTTTTCCACGTAGTATCTCAATTGGGACCATTTTGAGAAAAAAATCAACCACTTAGTTAGAAATTACCTTTGGTGCAGTTTGTGGTAATCCCTTTCAATTGTTCTAAAATTTCCGAGAGCCTTGCAGAGAATTGTAAGAATTCATGGGATTTATGATGATTTTTGAGACCAGTGATGAAAGCAATTGTTTGTACATTTGTTTATTTACTTGTTTACATGCATATCTACTTTCCTATTCACTAACTCATTTTGTTGCTTAGCTTTCCATCCGTTTATTTATTTAATTGCTAAATCATTTTTCTTCACTTCACCTTTTTTTCTTCTTGTCCTATTTCTATCCCCCAGGAGTTTCACCACCACCCGATCGATACAGGAAAAATTACGGGCCTCCTTAGCCTGGCTGTGGTTTCATTCTCAGCAAAGGTCGGTAGACCTAATGCTGAAAGAATTTTTTTTTCAAAGCATGGGAAGGCTCCTTCTAGACTGTAGCCCACGAATGGGAAGCTCATAAATGCATATTTATAAATCTTTTTTAATAACTTGCTATTTCTTACGATTTGGCTAGATTTCGTACCTTCAGATTCATTGAAATGGGTTCAAGCTTCTGAAATGTCACTTAAAATAGCTGTAAAATCCAATCCTATCCTGGTAGCAGTTATAGGGGTTGTTTGGTTGAAATTTCATGTTCGCATGCACCATTTTACGACTTGAATCGTTTCTCGTTTTTCTCCGACATGGTGTCATCGGCTGGGGGAAATATCGTTATTCGTAGTTGATATCGGTGAATTCCATCGATGAATACCGTTACGTCAATCGTACAACAGCCCAGGGTGAAGTTTCCTTGTCTAGGAGCTTTATCGATCCCTTCCTTTCAAGTATTCCTTGTTGTTTGGCTTCAGGACGTTCAAAATGGGAATTTCAGAAGTAAACAGACCTAACGACACTTGCAGTTGGATTATTCATTATGGCCGGACGTGATCCTCATGGCTTGCAATGTTTATTCATGCCCCGTATCGTGTCATTCAATTCCCTTTGTGAGAGTGCGATTTTCGGGGGCGCCCATTTCAAGGTTGCCGCTGGTCGATACAATGCTGTGTGATGTCCCTCTTCCCACTCATTTTACCCTTGCTGCACTTTTGGTTTCATGGCTGCAGGCTTTTTTGGGAAGGATTTCAAGGATTGGAATGGTTTAGCGTGGATTAATCCCTTTTCTAGGATGCATTATCACAATACACCCAACGTTCATTGAGTACATTACGTAGTAGACCGTTGAAGCCATATTGGATTTAGCAATGAACTGCGGTGATCTAGCGATGAAAAAAGTGTTTTTACACACCCTCCCCTCCTACTTGGGTCTGGTCTGGTAGAGGCTCGACCCGGGATTCGATCCCCGTACCATGTGCATGGTAGTGATAGTGCGCCTCTTGACCCTCCGCCACCTCCGAGAGCGTAAACTAGGTAAAAAGTGGATAGCTTCGTCTGGTTCCCTTCGTGGTGAAGCGGTTTTAGTGAGACCTTACGAGCCCTTTTTCTCGTGAGACCATATAAGCCTTTTTTCTTCCCTTCATGACCACCAACCCCACCAAAACTCAGGAAATTGGGCATCTGAAAACTGGACCCTGTTCTTGAATGGCATGCAGAGCGGGGAGATAATTATCTGGAAATCTTCTCGCGGCATGTCCACATACCATGTATGGGGCAACATGACCACGAGATTTTCAGTGGAACAAAATCCTATATTTACATCGTTTGGTCTCCTGGTAAATACATTTAGACAAGCAAGCCAAGCATAGCCTCTGCGCAGTTATGACTAATTCGTGGATGCATGGCTTAATCAGTGACAATTCATCTTTGTCTTTATATCATTTTGTTGACTAACTATCAAAGAATGGGCAGAAGCTCTGCCTAGCTTCATTCTGGTCCCTTCTGCTGAA